CTTGTTTCTGACTCATAATTTACAAAATCAGCATTTTGTTGCACATAAGTGTTAAACCAGCGACTGAACCCATAAATATTCATCAAAGTGTTTACTGAGGTCAAAGATCGAGGGACCCTCAGGGCTGGTTTGCAGTTGCTTGGGCATTAGAAGCCTGGGCTTCATTTTGCAGAGCTGTAAACTAGGTTCATCATATATGGATGAAACCGTTTTTATTCTTTTCTGCTTTACTAATATCTACTTTAACTTTTCCTCTGTGCACTAATCAACCGCCCACATTTATTTCCCCATTTAGCCAGAGAAAATCGGCCAGTCTCCAGTCGCTCCAACATCAGACGGAGACAAGGTGGACCTGGAGGCCTTCAGCGAGTTCACCAAGATCATCACTCCCGCCATCACCCGTGTCGTTGACTTTGCCAAAAAACTGCCCATGTTCTCTGAGGTGAGTGGCGGTTAATTTGACCTGAAGAGCACAGGAGGAGGCCAGAATTAACACAAAAATTGGCAAAACTGTTCATTTGCCACAGCTAAACCAAGACTACTTCAGTTTACCAGAAAAGTCCAGCACACAAGGAAAGTGCTGATCATTTACATATTTCCTCAAGCAATCGCAGTGTTTGCAAAATAAACCGGCCTTTGTTTCTGACAATTAGTGAAGCATTCCTGCTCCTGTTTGGCCTGCCTCACTTAGCAGCACGTAATCATGTTTCCCTTCTGCGCTGCTTGTAATGAGACCTCGGGTGATTGGATAATTATCAGGGTGTATCAGAGCTGTTGTCTAGCGGGACAGCTGTAGTGACAGAGCAGTACGACTGTGAGTCTGCAGCGTGATGAATTACAGAAGAGGAAAAAGTCTTTACTGTGATCTATTAGAGTTTATGAAAACGTCACTTTTTTATTTTTTAATCAGCATATTTTAATGCATTGTATAATTATTATACAAGAATCGCTATCATGATGGATACTACTAATCAAGTCAGCGTCTGAGCATGAATAAACTCCTCATAGTGCTCCCAGAGCTGGAGGTTTAGCTATAACAAATTTAAAGTTTGAATATTCCAGACACAAGCACATGATCAGCAATGTTTATTTTCTTCTTCTTCTCACATTGTAACATATTTTATTATAAAAGAAGTCATTTTAATCTGATTAAAGAGGCAGAGGGAGGGAACTTGTTTGGCGTACAAGCGATCTGTTCGTGGCTCTGCAATAAATTACTAATAAGAATCCGCAGAAACAAAGCCAGCATTCAATTAGCCAGTAAAAATTAATCTGTTGCTTTTTGACAAATTGACGCAGTACTAACTGCATTATTAGGCATTTACTTTAAGCCTGCCCCCTAGTTAGAAATTTACAAGACAAATCAAGCCAGTGAATGTCAATTAATCTGCTCTGCAGTCAAGAGCAACGAGGAGAGAAACCAGCTTACATCAAGGTACGATTAATTCAGCACATCAGAGGCTGCAGATTTAATTGAACAGGTTTTAACCCAGAGTTTCTAATATCCATGTAAATCAGGGTGTATTAGTCATAATCTGTGTTCATCAGTGGGGGGGTGGAGTACGCCTATTTTCAGCCCATCTTCATATTTCTCCTCCTCCCATCCCTTCCTCTTTAGCACATCTCTCTGCCTTCCTTGCGCTCATTTATTATTTAGTATCCTCTTTACCTAAATTCTCTCTGCCATTATTTGCTCTGCTGCTTTATTGACACTTGGATAATGGCGAGGATGTGGGAAGGTAGCAACGCAGCTGAGTCATATCTAATGTGTGAGCACTAAGGCAATCAACTGAAGGACAGATAGTTCTCATTTTTCTATAAAACTTACGGAATTAAATAAAAAATTGGTGTCAAAGATTCAGTTTGTGGATGGCAGGTTTACAGGGCTGTGAAACCATGGATGTATACAGATGCCAGTATTTGAAATAATGCTGCAGAAGACACTGGCATTTTTTTGTTAGCTTGCTTCATTTTTGTAGTTATTTATTACTACGACCCATTGATATCGGCCATAAAATGAGATTGCTGATACAAGCAGCTTAATTGAGTTTCCACTGAAGGGTGTCTGGGATCCAGATTGGCTGAGGAGCTCAGTAATTTAGGGTTGGACTCAGATTAGAGCCACTATTCCTCCACATACATACAGGGTGGGCCATTTATATGGATACACCGTAATAACATGGGAATGGTTGGTGA